CTCTGCTTTGGCCCAAATTGTATGTTGAGCTTTTCCACAAAACAACCTTCTGCGTCTGAGCTGAAAAGTCAGCCTCTCATGGGATCTAGGTTGACGATTCCTTCCAAGCAGTTCAAAAAATCGTGAATGTTATCGGACATCTGTGCAGTCTCACAGACAGGAAGACAAGAGGTCGGTTTTAGTCTGTGATTTACAATCTTCATTCTGCCAACAGAGAGGCATGTTGGTTGGTACCACTAAGAACACATGTGACCTTGCGTGATTCCCTAAGCTAAGAAGAAACTGGATTGGTTTATTATTTAGGTGGGAGGCCATCAGCAATTCCAAGGCAGAGCCCGAAATCCTGCTGTTGCTGCCAGTCAGAACCACAATACTAGGCAAGTTGGACTTAGTGGTGTGACTCAGTTTAAGGCAGTTTTCCATGTCCAAAATCCTTCCTGCTTTCTTTGCAGTAATAATAAAAGACTGAATCATGTGTATGGAAAGGAGGGGCAGTTAACTCATTTATAGACTTTCCTAATAATGGGGGTATTTTGGGCCAGACCAGGGTGAGGAATAAAAGTGTGCCGATCACTGCCTGGGAAATTCTGGGAGCTGTATCTAAAAACACCCACATATATTTGCACACCTCTAGTGGGTGATGTGTGTCCCTCCAGATCTTGCTGGACTGCCATTCTCTTTAGCCTTCAGGAGCATACCCAATAATAGGGGATGATAGGAGTTGTAGTGCAACTAATATCCAAAAAACTTCTCTCTTCCTATCACTGCACCAGGCAATGTGGAAACACATACACACTTACAGAATACATCAGTATACAGCATGCGCTGTCTACAGGCCTAAATGTACACTCCTCTTGCTATTAGTTTCTCTCCTTGAGGCTGTGGTGAGCTTGGGAGATGGCGAAGGGGCCCAGGCCAACATTTCCCATCTCCTGTGGCTCTTCCTCTGTTGGGTCTTAGAATTTCTACTATGTTGTAAAAGTGTTGGCTGCTCGTTACAAAGACATTTCATTTTGCAGACTTCATAACTGGTGAATTATCGCACTTAAAGGCCAGCTATTCTAAGCCCATCGTGAAACACCCAAACAGTTCTGATAACTAATAATCTGGAATCAATTAATGGTATCTCAGTTCCTCTTGCAACACATTTCCTGTTGCTGCCCTTGTTCTTTCTGCAGCCTCTCCCTTTCCCGCTTCTCCAATGGCAGGAGTCTAATGTGGTGTGGCAAGCTGGCCCCGCCACTCCATGAACCTCACGACCTCTCCCTACAAACATCAACTCCAGACTGGACATCATCAGTGATTCAGGGATTGAGCTCATTTACGCTTGCCTGCTCTGTCTGGCTCTGGAAAGCCCCCTTTCCCCTGTCTTCAGCAAATCCAACAAGTTTCATTAAGCCCTATAGAAGAAAGCCCCAGGGCTATAAAGAGGGTGGAACAAATGGGGTTTAGCCACGGGGCACCAGAAGCCGCCCAGAAGCCACTGGTAATGGTGCGGCTAAAACTGTAAATAAATAAATTTAGAAGGCACCAACACTGAGAGTTGAATGCTACAAAAATAAATTGCAGGGTGGGTGTGAGAAGGCACTGCTTGCCCGTGGTGGCAAAATGCCTATAGACCATTGGTTGCCAAACTGGGGTTCCCAGATATTTGAACTGCAACTCCCAGAAGCCCTCATCACTTAGCTCTGTTACATCTCTGAAGTTTCCTCCTTGACTTGTTGTACAAACAGCTGCTAAGAGGTACAGCATGGTTCACCGGATGGTGGCCCCATTGTGCTGGGAGTCACCTCCCACAACAGTTTGCCAGCGACAGCACTCAATGCTCTTGTCAACAAGAGGCTCAACAGGGAAAAGGGGAATGTTTGAGAAAAGATCCAGGAAGAATTTTCTACCGCCTATGCAAAGCTCGGGGAGGGGGGGGGAGAGGGAGAGGCCACCATGGCACTCTATGGCTAGCATTCTTGCTCCACACAGCTCACCCGGTCTGCAGGGTCTCTTCAGCAAACAGCCATTCAAAGAATCCTCCCTAAACAATTCTTGTTGGGGCTGGTTATGAACAAAAGCCCGTCACCTGATGTTTTAAACATCATGTCCCACGATCCATTCAAGATCTGTTAGGCCTGGCTAAAGTAGCTACGGCTCCTGGGAGTTGGAAGTCCAACATATCTAAGAAAAAATATATATATCTCTCTCTGTGTGGTGAACAGGGCGATGGGGGCAGGTGGTTGTTTTTCAGAATGAGGGAGTGCACAAGTCGTGGAGGTGACAAGGTGAGTCTCTGTGTTAGACCTGTTATATGCTGACAAGGAAAACAGGGTGGAACCACTTGCTGCTGATTCTATCCAGGTGTGGGAGCCATTTTCAGCTGCTTCCGCTTTCTTAACCATGTTCACTGAAAGGGGGGAAAGCGATGGGATCAAACATAGTTGCTTGCAGTGTAGACAAAAAGAGGACTATTCAGTCATGGCTCCAGTGGACTCCCAGGTAGATATGCTTTCTCGTAAGTAAACATGCACAGGATTTTACTGTGATTTGCTTAAATTCTTATTTCTAATAAATGCAATTTGAAACTCATTAGGACTCTTTAACCTCCGATATGCAGATGATACCACTCTGATGGCAGAAAGTGAGGAGGAATTAAAGAACCTTGTAATGAGGGTGAAAGAGGAGAGTGCAAAAAACGGCCTGAAACTCAACATCCAAAAAAAACACAACAACAACAACAACAAAAAACAAAAACTAAGATCATGGCCACTGGTCCCATCACCTCCTGGCAAAGAGAAGGGGAAGATATGGAGTGTGTGACAGATTTTACTTTCTTGGGCTCGATGATCACTGCAGATGGAGACAGCAGCCATGAAAAGATGCCTGCTTCTTGGGAGGAAAGCAATGGCAAACTTTGACAGCATCTTAAAGAGCAGAGACATCACCTTGCCAACAAAAGTCCGAATAGTCAAAGCTATGGTTTTTCCTGTAGTGATGTATGGAAGTGAGAGCTGGACCGTAAAGACAGCAGACTGCCGAAGAATTGATGCCTTTGAATTGTGGTGCTGGAGGAGGCTCTTGAGA